GTGATTATACTGGACCCACCAAAATTAAAGCATTCCAAATAGGTAAAATCAAATACAGCTGATAAATCTTACTTTCTTGGCTTGCTGAAATCCTTTGGAAGATTTTATGGATAATGATTCTAATGTGGGTTTGGGAGGAATATGAAGGGGAGAAAGTGAAAAAAAGGCAATTTTATCATTACTCATGGCATGAAGTCAATAGAAATTGTCTAGAAATATACAAATGTAAGTGTTTTGGACAAGGGGCCCTGCCATGTACGGCTGGTGAGAACGACTTCACAGGACTTCTCTAGAGCTATTGTGTGGGACGAAGAGACAAGGGGCGGCTTTTGCAGAATTCAGCTTTAGGGACTCACTGGAAGCAGAGATACAGCTGGGGGGCAATCAGTCCTTTCCTACCACAAAGCATGAACCATCTCTCCAGTACCACCTTGTTATACTGCTGTTGACAATCATGATTAGTGACCACCCACCATTTTTTAATACTATATGCCATTTCCCCCAAACTTACTTTCCCAGTTTCCTTTGTAGGAATGAGACTGAGGCTCCAACTGAGGTGAGACACAACCACACAGGAGTGTGACACCCAAGAGAACAACTGTGATAAATGAAGACTCCAGCTTCCAGGGATGGGAGAAGCAGAGGTGCTGGTACCAAGTGCCCAGAGGTGGCAGCAGTGTCCTCCTGAAGCAGTTCTGAAGAGTGATTTGGGCATTATTCCTAGCTGGTTGCCTCTATGCCTAACTATCTGGCCTTCCTAGAAATTCTATAAAATACTCAATACTGTTTAAAAATAAATTTATTTGCTGCTTAAACTAGGTAGAGAGGAGTTTCTGTTATTTGCAACTAAGAACCATGCTTGATATTGTATAGCAGCAGCACACACTTAAAAAGCAGAGAACAAGTGTAAAGCATCCTTTAGTGTTAAAATGACCAAAAATCTAACATTTTCATTAGCTCCCAGTCTAGAGATCACTTACTCAGTAGCATTTTATCAATTTTAAAGTTAAGTTAAAGAATGGTCTCTGTTAAAATAGGTATTAGTTTTAAGTGTGATTATACTGGACCCACCAAAATTAAAGCATTCCAAATAGGTAAAATCAAATACAGCTGATAAATCTTACTTTCTTGGCTTGCTGAAATCCTTTGGAAGATTTTATGGATAATGATTCTAAAATGTTTATTCTAGGCTCCAAAGCTTGCTTTTGAGCCCAAAGTGTAATCAAATTCACTGCCTACTGTGAAAGGATTAAGGGATGATGTCATTTCCATTGCTCCCTCTCTTGTTCTTGCCTATGAAAAGCAGCAAAATATACACATTTACCCTGGAGTTTCACAATAAAGAAATGCTGCAGCTGGTGGGTTTTACTACTGAAATGATGCATTTAATTTGGGACCTAGGTGTTGAGTACAAGGCTTTGTAGCCCAGTGGTTCTCAAAGTCTGGTCCCTAGAGCATCAATATCACCAGGGAACTTTTAGGAAATGAAAATTCTCAGGCCCCAGAGCTGATTTACCAAATTGGAAACTTTGGGGGTGGGACCCAGAATTCTGTGTTTTATGAAGTCTCCAGGTGATTCTGATGTATGCTAAAGTTTGGGAACTATTTTCTTTGGAAACTCAACCAAACTGCTCCAATCAAAGCAGAATCTACTACTGAGAAGGGAAGAGCAAGATGTATCTTCTTAATAACACATTTCAGAATATTAAAGGAGTTCTTCCCTAGAACTATCTAACTTTACATGTAGCATAAAATCATTTCTTTTTCTACAGAGGGGATATAGGATACTTGGATCAAGATAGAACTTTTCCCCAGACTGTTATACAACAAGGACTTTTCAATCTTCTCCTCCAGGCTAAATAATCCTAGTTCCTTTTAACTTTATTTGTAATCACTCTTTAAAACTCTTCTTCATCCTTGTCAAGCTCCAGACTAAAGTATAACCTAATTTTACTGTTTAAATGAATTAAAACACATTTCCTGTCATTGAACTATAGAAACTAATGCCATAAAACCTAGGTTTCTTAAAATAAAAAAAAAAATCCAACTTTAGGTCTGTCCTTCCTAGATATTCTGATTCTTCCTTACCCCTATTCTTCCTCCTAAAAAAAAGTTGTAGTTTGTTGTAAGGTCACTAAGTATTTCACATATATTGCATTAAATTCTAATCCTCATTTGCCCTATTAAATAAGAATTGACCAGATGGATATTCCTCTGACTCTCTCAAGCAGGTTTTAGTTAATTAAAAATGATTATTTTTACTACATATTTTATATATCAGCCAGATGTTACCGGTGGTCATTTCTGAAAAGGATCATTTAGTGGGGGTCATAAAATATGGATTTGCCTTTGGGAGGCAAGATTCTTGAGCACAATCAGGAAAACAAATTCAGAAATTGATTTCACTTCATACTCTTTTCCTAGTGCCAAAATGGGTGTAATGTTTCATTTCCTTTGAAACTACTACCTATGCAAATTCTTTCTTCTATGTCTGCACTCTGGCCACACTTACATTGTATCAAAAAATTAGCAGGTTGAAAGAAGAAAAATCAGTGTTGGCTTCTTTGTGCTTGATGTATAAAAGTTGATTTTGCCAAAGAAACTGATTTGGTTTCCCTAGATTTGGTTGCTGTTAGACATCTATGTATGACATAACAAACTGCTCAGTCAGGACAGTGACTATATTGTGTTGCTAAGAGGACGCGTTTCCAGACAGAGATTTCTAACAGTTCCCACTTCGGCACAGGTTGCATTGCTATTTTTCATGCAAACTAATTTGCCTAAATTCCCACTGGTGCTGAAATAATCCAAAATGAGGCAAAGATACTGTAACTGTGAAACTGTTTTGTGATTACACTAGTCATTTTCTATTTGTAGACTACAATCTTTTCTAAAAATAAATAAATAAATAAACACAACAAAGCAACATTCAACTTTTCCTCCTAAGAAAAAATCAGCTCTTGAGGTCACCCAAAATTCTGAAAGTCTAACACATGAAATTAACCACAGTATCAACTTGGGCTAGATTTAGATGGTTGATTTTCTCCAAAACACCATTTAGCAGACTTTTAGAGGCAAAATCAATCTTTTGAAAGTCTGAAGTTCACACACTCACAAAAACAAAACATTAGGTATGACAGCATTTTACAAAAAGCATTTCAATATTTCGTAAAATATTTCACGGCACGATGTTCTTGGTTCTGGTCTTACCTCTGACTTTCTTCGTGGCCTTGTGAAAGTGACGCCCTCACTTTGAGTTTCTTCCTTCATGTAAAAAATAATGGTAGAACTAGATATTCTCTAGTCTCTTTAAGGCCCCAAATAATGATTCGTTGCTTAAAAGATAACTTTTAAGACCTACTATGCTTTATGGGACAATTGCAACAATTTGGGGTGGGGGGAAAGTCTGCTTTCATAAACTCAGAAGCTTTAAACACAGGACATGGCAACTCATTTTCTGATTGTATAAAGCATCTGTCCCTGTGTTCTGAAGTAGACAAATCTGCTTGTAGTAAATCACAGTCACCTCAGAAATGACCTCTTCCTCTTAAGTTTTTAGCTATCAACATTTACTAGGGTCTTCCTATTAAAGTCATCTGTATTACATTTGATTTCAAGAGCCAGGCAAGAGGTACACATTCTTGGTGACCAGCCCAATAGACCTTGGAATAAACTGTCCCTCCAAACACAAGATTACTTACCTTTAGTTCAAGCCATGCTCATCAGCCTCTAATAGGTTTGAGGGACTCACCAGTCTTAATTTCCTATGTGAATCTATAATTGTCCACAGAGGTCAATTTCAGTGGATGCCTCATATAAATTAGAATTGGAAGATAATGATGCCTGTTCACTTGATCAACTAAAATGACCAGCTGGGTTTAATGGGAGGAAAACAGAAATCCCTATGAAATTGGAATAGCTTCAAAGGTGATAGAATGTAATTATTTTTCTGCAAAGTTTCTTCTCCAAAGGTGAACGGCTGTTGTGCCGGTGAGCACCTGGGCCAGCAAGTTATGAAAGTGGCTGTGGCATTCAGTCACTGACCATATCGAAAGGCATAAGTCAAGAGTTGAATTTCTGCTAAGGCTCTGGGGGGGTGAACAGGATTTCTTTTCCATTCTTATTTTAGTCGTTTAATTCACAATTAGAAAGGTGCTTTAGGACTTGCTAATTGACTCCCGAGAGGCAAATTCTAATTTAAGTTGCTACAAAAGTGTTTCCTCTTTATGGCCATAAAACAGTTTCTTGGATCTGTTATAATTATCCTTAGGGCAATATAACTTTAGGTCTGAAAGAACCTTGATGTCACCTGCCCCAACCCCTTAATTTTACAGATACAGAAACTGAGGTCCAGAGATGTGAACTGACGACGAAGGTCACATGGCTAGAAAGAGGCAGAAGCTGGGCAACCACCTAGCAGATGAGACGACGAAATCCAAACGGACTCCCAGGCCAGAGTTTTCTACCTATGAATAGACGGAGGCTCGCTCAGGGAGGAAAAACGACTCTTGCCATGAAAATCACCATTGAAGAAAACTTAGGCTCTATGATGGGACAGAGGTGCTAGCAAGCAAAACAGGTGGAGGTGGGAAGCTGGGAACACCAGAGAACAAAGGGACCAGCAGGCCGCAAAGCAGATGACCGTTCCTACCAGCTGACACGGAGCTCTGTTTATGCGTCTGTGTGCGCTGAGGGACTGTCATGCCCAAGGGGGACGGCACAGACCCGGGAGCCCGACTATCAGTACTTACCGTGTAAGAAACAAAAACCTTACTGTACTTAGTTTACTGTCATAGGGATTAAATAAGGACTAAATAAACTGATATGTGTAAAGAGCTTAGCACATAGTTAGTGCTATTTTCAACATCAGCTGTTTTCTCTCTAACTATACCAGAAAATTTTAAGTTTAAGAATATATATGTTAAGTTGTATTCATTAATAATGTACTGAGGAGCTTTACCTGAGATAAATACCCAAGAACTCTACTAGAGATTCAGAAAGTCGTTGATAAAACTCCTTTGTATGTTTAATGGATTAATTTTTCAATATATATTGGTTACAATTTAAAGCATAAAAAAATTAACTACAGGGATTTCATTAATTAAAAAATTCAATGCTGTCCATAGTTTCATATAACAATGACAGAAATTTCATTAGCAAAACAATTAATAAAAGAGCATATCTGCTGTAAAAATTAAAGACAGATTTTCACGGCAGGAAATTAGTACCAAGTCAGCGATTCCTACAGTCATTAGAGTCAGGGATGTTCAGAGATGCTGCATTTTTTTGCTAGAACACGTTTCTTGGGCAGTTTAACTTTTTTCTTTTTTTCTCCCGAAATTTAACGTTGTCAAAGCTATCATTAATATTTTACTAGGAGTTTTTAAGAGGAAACCTTCACAGTAACAGTGCAGACCTTCCAGTAATTAAGACCATTTCAGATGTGCCTAAAATGAATACCGTGTATGGATTAGTTGGGTTTTTCCTTTCATTCTTTGAATTAAATTCAATGGAAAATTTTAAGGGAATAAAAGCCAGTTACCTATTCCCCCATACTTGAATTAAATGGTTTTAGCAATTAAGTAGAAAACTAAATTTTAAACGTTGTTGTAAGGGACTTTCCTGGAATTGGTCGCTGATTTAAGACATTGGAAGATCATGATAAGCTGCGTATCTCCCAGTCACATGGTGGTAAATCTGTGAGGAAAAACAGAGTTTAGTTGATGAGGCCTTATTATATTATTACACATATCAATGAATTATTATACTATTGAATAATAATAATTTTAATGAACATTTCACTATGAAGCCCCACTGCACTGTGCTTCAGCAGAATCTCCACATATCCTACTTCTCATTTTTTGGAAGAAAGTCAGAGGTTTGGGTATGATTAAATCAGATGCATTTTCACTTCTAGTTTTCAAAGCCCAATAGGCGTTTTTCATTTCTTCTGAAAAACCCTCATCAATAAGATCCAAGGATAATGGATTATTACCTGCCTCTCGATGTCCATAAGCAGAGTGCTGGCACCTATTCGGAAGAGTTCTGGCTTCAGCCACTCATCTCCTAGCTCCTCCTTTACAAGAGACAGCCAAGCAAGGGAATCCTTTGCACTGCGGATGCCTCCTGCTGGTTTAAAGCCTACCTAAGTGGGCAGGTGGGAAGGAGAACAATGTTTATTGCTATTGGATTGTTTAACAAATGGTACTCCTTGATACAGGGTCTCAATTCTCTCATGCTCTGTCTTTTTTAAAGTCTGTTTCACTTCCCTCAGCAAAAGAGCTTAGATCTCCAACTCACGCCAATTCACACGCCAAAATGACTTTTCCAAGATTAATGGGAAGAATGCCACTGCTTCTGAGGAGACACTAATGAGAGTTAATAACCCTCATTAACATTTCACTTATTGGGAAGTCATAAACCTCAACCATCCAGACTATAGCTGTGAACCTGGGATGAACAAGAGAGGTGTCAATAAATAGGAAAAGAGTTATCACAAAGGCTTACTCACTCTACATTTCGGCAGGCAAGCCTGTTCAGTCACCTCTCAGCCCTTATCTTGAGGTGCAAAAGGCACTTATGTACTCAAAACAAGAGGAGAGAATCAGGCTAGCCTCACTAACTGAACTGGCAGCAGCCAGCTAGGAGTGTTGACAGTTGTTTTAATCAACTTAACTGCAGGGACGTTTTTTCTAAGTTGTAAGCAGACAAAGTTATATAAAAGCAGCCAAGCCAGTTAAACAAGCACAGTGGAAAAAGGCTGTGTGGGGGCTCTTCTCACTTCAGTGGCCTTTGAAGGGGACCATGAAAAAGCACAACTCAGCCAATATCTGATGTTCACAAAGGATGTCCCTGAGTCCACTAGAAAAGGTAAAAGGTGCTCTATCTACGGTAAAACCTGCTCATCTGGATTTACTTGTGTCAAAAACTTGACTATCCAGTAGAGAATGTGTACATGGGAGCAATCAGGGTAACACCCCAATGTCCAAGCACTAAAACGCATGCATTTGACCACTGGTTTGACAAGTAGCACCAGTATGCAGTTAACTGCTAAGAGAACACCAGAGAAGGGAGACAATAAATGAAATGTCCCAGTGTCCACCCAAGCTGGAAACCTCAGAGTGAACCTGGGCTCGGCTATCCTCCTCAACACAGCCAAGCAATCAACAATCAACAGTCAAGTCCCACCAATCTTATGTTCTTAACTCCCGGATCTCCCATATGTACACTTTCCTCTCTACTCTCATTTTTACCATTTTAGTTTAGACCCTCATCAGTTCCCACATGGAATATCAGCATATGACTCTTAACTGATCTCTCTGTTTCAACCACACAATGTCACACAGCTAAGTAGATGTCCTGCAGAGATTCTTACCCTATCTGCCCATTACTGTGGAGCCCAAGTGACTGCAAAAAGAGGGGTGGGGAGGTGGGAGGATGGGGGGAGATAAGGAGGATGAGGCTATTTGTTGAGAATAGGTAAAAAAAAAAAAATCAGTTAGCTGATATTAGCATACATGTTAATCATAGGAGCATTTCTGTTAATTAGGCAGCACGGTGTATAGATTTTTCTATATAGTTCAGATGTGTCAGCAAGTCTGGCAATGTTTCTAGAGAGGGATTATAGCGTACGGTTTTATTTTAAGGGAGAGAATATGGAAAACATAAATCTGCAATGAAATCAGTTATGAAATATTAAACCTCTGCTGCTCAGGAGTGACACTAATCATGGTCTGGAAGGCAGCCCATCACATTTTAAAACACCCCTTAAATCAATGATATACAAAGTTTACAGGCCAGGCAACTTGTCAACAACCCGAAAAGAGGCACCTGATTTGCAGGTACATATGCAGATCTTCACTGTGTGAAATCAAACGTGACTAAAATGAAAACGATCTGACTTGCTCCTGCCTGTTTTTTAATAAAGCTGGGATGGACTTTATGTATAAGCGAGGAAAGGATCAATACAATTAAAACAAAAGTATTTAAAGACAGCAAAGTGTCCCTTCCTCTGCACTCTGGTCTTGAACATCAAGTACTTAAAACTTCTATTGAAATTCTTTGCTATTGTCTAAGAGCTCTCCTGGGAAGGCACTTCCGTATCCCTAGCATTTAACATAGGTTAACACTGCACATAGTCAACTACTCAATAAATGGTTGTTGAGAGCAAAATAAGACAGGGTCTCTACTGGCAAGTTTTAACTCCAACTATAGAGCTTATGCATAGATGCCTGAGGACCAGGCCTGATGCCAGGGACGAGGGTGCCAGGCGTCAGTAGGTCTAAAAACTTCCCATTGGCTTTGGTGTTCTTAAGACCCCCTCGTCTAGTGAGTGGTGGTGGTGGTCTCAACTGTGGGGGGACAAAAGACAAATCTCATTTGTATTGCTTTTCTTAAAAATTTTCTTATTTGGATCAGTGCAAAAAGGCTACCAAGGAGAGGTTACTCAAGTTAGTTCAACTTTCATATGTCGAGTCCCCATAGATATTTATCCTACCTGTACTTTTTTAAGATATGAAGTTTCTCTGAAGAACATTCTGGAAGGACTTCATTTTCCCTCAAACACAATACATTCTAAAAAAGTCTTCTATTCCAAAATAAACTGGAGCTGTAGTCACATATAAAGGTATCACATGCAGTGGGCAAAGCACTAAAGGTCTTTTGGGGTTTTTTATTCAGCAGAAATCAAGAGATTGGTTTTAAAAGATGTCTTCTCAGGTGGAGAAAGTCTCATTTAAAAAAAAAAAAATCACCTTTTTGCCAATAATGTAAAAAAAAAAATCCTTTAAGGTAATTTGCAGCTAAACAAACAACTTGAAGTGAAAAGGAAAATAGGAAAATCCAAACTTATTTTTAAAAACACCGCATATGCATTTTTCCTTTTAACTTCATATGTTTCAAAAAATATGTATTATTTTTCGAAAAGCTGACAAAAGCTAGCATATACCCTCCTCAGCTTAACAATCTTCTAAAGTGCACATCCAACTGCCATAAAACGCAAAAATGGATATTTAATTCAAGAGCTATATAACGTCTAGCTACCTTTTCCCTGCTGTTTCACAGCATTTCATTATTTTGTTTAATAAGTTCATTTCCTCGAGAATTTTCTCTTCACCTCATATTATTAAAAGTAATAAGTTTTTCTGGACCGGGGGTTTCCCAACAGAAAAACCAATTTATGTGTGTCCTTCAATAATGACAGGAAAAGATTATTTCCCATTATATTGCATACTTTTCATATCACCACCAGAGCTTATCATTCAATAAATGTTACTCTGCAATTCTTTCCCTTCCTCAAGGAAGTTTAATTTCTGCATTAACCTGTTTTCGCTGGCCAACGCCTTACCAGAAAGCCTCTGCATGGCAGCAGAATTAGTTCGTTAAAGAGCCCTTTTAGGAATCTCTTGTCAGTGATAAAATTGTCTTCGGTTAATAAAAGGACATAAAGTGAGTTTACATCTTGATCACACGAACTTACTCCCACACTCACATTCACTCTCTGTTATTCGCACATTTTTCTATATGAATGTGTTCTTTTGTAATGAAAGGTAAATTAAACATTTATCTTAATAAAGGTAACTCATTCATACCTTCTGCATATAAAGACAGTTATCGTGGCTGTAGCTAGTATTATAAATAACATTATCTTTACTCTGAAGAAAGATTTGCTGGCAATAATATACCTTGTTTCCAGTTTTCCAGAAGAAATCTCTAATGGCCCGTAGCATTACTATAGCCACTGGGAAGGTGGCATTCACTGTTTCTTTTCCAGTAGAGGTCTTAATAAAATCTGATCCTAAAACAAAAGGAAGAAGTCCATGTTAATTAAAAAATTTATTCTTTATACTTTTGAGCCAGTGGAAGAAATGAGTTGTGTAAATTTTTTTCCCAAGGAACACAACTTTATTTTTCATTACCTGAACAACTAAGAACAAAACTTCACTTCCAAATAAAATTCTGACCACATTTTTCCCCCCTTACTAAAAGATGAAGTAAATTAAGTACCAAATGGATTCTCACTGACTGCTGGGGTTCTTACTTCCGTATTTCCACATCACCAATTAAAATCACATTAGTTTACTTAATGCATAATTGCAATGAATGAAAACAATGTTATGCTTATGCTTAATATCACACATCGGAGCACCTTACTACAAAACAGGAGGTCCACTCATTTTCCTTTCATTTTCTTGTGCTTGCTCAGAAGTACACAGTACAGCTGTCACAAGAAAAATCACCATCAGCCGGTTTCTGCTACATTGTTCATTAACAAAAGCACCGAGTCTTCCAACCAGATTATGAATTTCATGAAAGAAACCATTCTGTTCCATAACTTGCCAATATTTTAAACAACTTTTTGTCTCTCAAATGTATGTTAAACCTATTGATGCAGTTTAATACAATAGCACAAGGAGACAAATGATCTCATAGTTAAGATTCACCAAGTGCTATGTGCTATGCACTAGTCTAGGTGCTTTATAAGTATTAACTCAATCAACCCTCACAAAAACTAAGAAGAGCTCCATTTTTGAGGAAACAGAGGCACAGAAAAGTTAAGCAACTTGCTTGAGGTCATACAGTGAGTGAGCAGGGGAGGTAAAATTCTAACCAAAGCAATAGAGTTGAACCCATATGGGGTAGTGTGTCCAAGATACTCACCTAGGCTCACACAGTCAGATAGCCATACAGAGACTCCATCTTTCATGTGGTTACCACCCCCAAAATACTCAGAGTGTGGACCACAGACCGACAGGATGGGCACCACCATGGAGCTTATTAAAAATGTAGATTCTCAGGCCCTACACTAGGTCAACCAAATCAGAATCTGAATATAAACATGGTTCCTAGGTGATTCCTGTGCAAGCTGATGGCCTGTCCACTGAATCTGTGGAACCATGCATAAGGCTAATCTCTGAGATTTTCCCAAGGGCCATCAAAGGAGTGGCCAATAGGAATGAAGAACAGAAGTGGTCAAAACTTCCTCCCTAGTTTCCATTGGAAAAACATACTTCCATGGTTATTCTGTGCATGGAAAGATTCGAATTGCCAGGCCTTTAGTAAGCAAATTATGTGTAAGGTACAGTGGAAAATACAAAAATAAATAATTCAAACCCTTGCCCTCAAAAGCATGTATTCTAGGCTCAGGTGGAGATGAGACATAAATCCTGGGTAATAACTTGATGAGCTAGAACTCAGGAGATCTAGCCTCACTGTAGCTTTGATATTTGCCTTGAAAAATCCACCTCCAAAACTTTCTCATTTGTAAAGTGAGGAATTCTTTACTTGCTTCATAGTGTTATACAAGGAATCAACAGACAACCATGTGAAATCACTCTGAAAACTCCCAAGTGTTATACAAATATGCAGCAAGGACCTGGGTAGAGTTGCAAGCTGTAAAAATAGTGTAGGAATTCTGATCGACCAGAACAGGCCATCAGAAGCCCTCTTTTCTTGGGTCTGTGGGCCCATTGGGAGAAGTGGAAACATACAAATGGAGAGAAATGAATTTGTTAAATTCATTTAACAAATATTTGCTGAGTGCTTACTGTGTGCTGGACTTTGTTCTAGATGCTGGAAATAGACTACTAAACAAAACAAAGTTCCTGCCCTTGTGAGCAGATATTCTAAAAGAAAAAGACAATAAACAAATAAATATATAGTAAGTGTCAAGTGGAGGTAACTGTTATAAAAAAAATAAAACTAATGCAACATAACAAGATAGAGTGTAACACCTAAGATGGGTGGACATGGGGAACACAAGTAGTGACTCTATAACATCTTACTATGCTGATGGACAGTGACTGTAATGGGTTATGTAGTGGGGACTTGATAACAGGGGAGAATGCAGTAACCACAATGTTGTTCATGTGAAACCTGAGCATAAGATTGTAGATTAATACCTTAATAAAAAATGCAAAAAAAAAAGAGTGTGATAGAGGTGGAGAGAGGTACCTGCATTTAAACAGAATCAACATAAAGGCATCTCTGACGAGTGAAATTCAGAGACTGAATGAAGGGAATCTGTGAAAAGAGCATCATAATCAGGGAAACATCAAGTGCAAAAAACCTGAAGTCAGCCATGTGCAAAGCTGATTAATAAATGAATGAATGAATGAGGCTACAGAATGGATGACTGGCCCCTACATAAGACATAAGACAAGCAAAGAGAAGAGATTAAATCCTCCAAATAGATCCAAGAGGTGATTAAATCCTCCAAATAGATCCAAGATGTAAAGGGAACATTCTAAAATAATTTACAATGAGACCAAGATGTGTTTTCCTAATGTGTGACATTATCTTCTGATTCACTAGAAGGCTTTCCGGTACAACACTGGATATTACCTAAATTATTTTAAGCATCTCAGAAGATCAGTAAGAAAAAAGACCAAGGCCACGTTTGGAGGTCTAAAAACAGGCATGGTCACTTAAAAAACCACACCATCTAAAGGTAACCAAAAGAGCCAAGTTCCTTTGGAAAAGTCTGGAGGCAGGGTAACGGAGAAGACTGTCCTCCTAATACATTTGGGAGGAACAGAGCAAAACACCCAGCACAGCAGCAGCAGGAGCCAGGGAGTAGTGACCACGGACTACATGTTATTTTATTTGTGCCCCTTTCTTGACTACACAGTAAGCACATCTGAAGGTAGGTGATGTATTTTTCTTATGCACATCTGTATCCCCAGAGCATGACATATATGAGGAGCTCAATAAATAAATTTGGAAGGATGGATGGATGGGTGGCCATATCTACCGAGAAAAAGCAAACTATAATTATTTTCCACCTTAGACTAATAGGGAAGAAACTAGTTTTGGGTTTCATTGCAGCCCCAGTAACAAAACTGGGTAGGTGGCTCAGAAGGAGACACCATTTTATTTATTTTTAAATACACTTTCAATTTTAGAACAGATTTAGATGTACAGAAATATTATGAAAACAGTACAGAGAGATTCCCTATACCCCACACCCAGTTTGCTCTTTATTAACAATGTATTAGCATGGTACATTTTTTTCAATTAATGAACCAATTATTGCTATATTATTTTTAACCTAAAGCCATCCTTTATTTAGATTGCCTTTTGTTTTACTCAGATTCCAATCTCATCCAGGATACTGTTAATGCATTGTCCTATCTTCATAGGCTCCTCTAGGCTGTGACAATTTCTTAGACTTTCCTTATTTTGACAACCTTAACAGTATTGAGTACTGGTCAGGTATTGTGTAAAATTTCCCTCACTTAGGGTTTGTCTGACTTTATCTCATGATTAAACTGGGGTTATGGGTATTTTGGGAGGAAGACCAAAGAGGCAAAGCGCCATTCTTACCACATCATTTCAAGGGTACGTAATATCAACATGACTTTTCGTTGTTGATGTTGAGCTTGGGTTTTGAGCAACAGAAACTTATTCCCTGACAGTTCCAGAGGGAAGAAGTCAGTTGTCAGCAGGACCACACTTCTTGTGGAGGCTCTAGGGACAATCTGTTTCTTGCCTCTTCCAACTTCTTCCAGCAGCCAGCACGCCGTGACCGCCTCTCCTAATCTCTGCCTCCATCCTCACACAGCCTTCTCTTCTGTGGGTGACCTTGATCTTCCTCTGCCTCTCTAAGAACATTTGTGATAGCATTTAGGAGGCCCGTAGATAATCCAGAATAATCATTTCATCTGAACAACCTAATTTAACCACATCTACAAAGATCCTTTCTCCCAAATAAAATTCACAGGTTCTTCTTGGGTTTAAGATGTGGATTTATCATTAGGAACCATTATTAGCCTACCACACTTCCCAATTTGTATATATTTTATTTCCTTTCCTTGTCTTTTCACCCTAACTAGGGCTTTCCAATAAAATGTTGACTAGGAATAGTAAGAGAGAACATTTTTGCCTATTCTTGGGGTTCTTAGGGTAAAAGTATCCAGTTTCTCATCATAAGTGTGCTTAAGGTTCTTGTAGATATTGTCAAGCTGAGGATGTTCTCCTCTATTCCTAGATCCTGACAGTTTTTATTATAAATAGGTGTTGTAATTCGTCAAATGCCTTATCTGATCAACTGATATGATCATATGATTTTTCTTTTTTAGTGTATTATATGGTAGATTACATTATACTGAACAAGCTTTGCATTTACCTGGAGTAAATCCCACTTGGTTGTGACACAGAAACCTTTTTATGTATTGTTGGCTCATTTGTTAATATGTTATTGAGGATTTTTGCATCTATGTACATGAGTAATACTGATCTACAGTTTTCCTTTCTTGTAAAATCTTTATCTGGTTTTGGTACTGGGGTAATGATGGTCTACAAAGTGACTGCTCTCTTTTCTATTTTCTAGAAGAGACTGTAGAGAATTTGTATCATTTCTTCCATAAATGTTTGCTAGAATTCATCAGTAAAACCATCTAGACCTACTGCTTTCCTTTTTGAAAGGTTATAATTATTTTTCTTTAATAATTTTTTAAAATTATTAAATAAGTAAAATTATTTCATAACATCTTATAATTAAAATATTTTATAGTTGATGTAAATATACTATTACATAGTTAATATTCATAAAATAAATTAAAATTAAAAGTTTCTTCAATAGATATAGGCTTATTCAGAATACTTCTTATGTAAATTTTGGTAGACATTAGCTCAGCTAAATCAATAATCCCTTTAAATGTATTGATCCATATATACTAGATACAGGACTGATTGTCAACAAAGAAGACCCTACTGTATGTTGTTGATAAGAAATTCATTTTAAATACAAAGATGTAAGAGGTTCAAAGCAAAGGGATAGAGAAAGATATACAATGG